TCCCCCCGTCCGCCGTCAGTGTTCCCCACCTGCGGTAGGTGGAAGGTGAAAGGCGGACAGCCATGGGGAAGGGGGAAAGGGGGACTACGGGTGGTATTTCCTTCTCCCTCTCCCCCCCCCTCTGTTGTGGTTGCCGTGGCCATAGTGGCTGTGTGGCAGTGGCTCTGGCTGTGGTCGCCGTGGTGGCCTTGGTGGCCTTGGTGGCCTTGGTGGCGGTGGTTGGTTGTCGTCATCGCCTGGTCATCGTAATGGTGGTGGTGCTGGTTCTGGAGGGATGGTTATGCTCGCGACTGTCGTCGACATTGTGATTATGATTGTGGTCATGATTGTTGTGGCCATGATCGTGGTGGCCATGATGGTGGTGGCCATGATGGTGGTGGCCATGATGGTGGTGGCTATGATTGTTGTGGCCATGATGGTGGTGGCCATGATGGTGGTGGCCATGATCGTGCTCGCTGCTCTGATTCCTACTTTCCCCCCCTGACCTCGCCGCCTCTCTCTCACACTCACACTCACACTCACACTCACACTCACTCTCACAGTTGCGCAACACAGATTGACAGGCCACCGTGTGGCGGTCAAGATCATGAACCGCGACAAGATCAAGGCGCTGGACATGAACAAAAAGGTGAAGCGTGAGATCGACGTGCTCAAGCTCCTCCGCCACCCGCACATCATCCGCCTGTACGAGGTCATCTACACTGCCACAGACATCTTCATGATCATGGAGTATGTGCCCGGCGGCGAGCTGTTCGAGTACATTGTCAAGAACGGCCGGCTGCCCGAGGGCGAGGCCCGCCGATTCTTCCAGCAGCTCATCGCCGGCATCTCGTACTGCCACGACCACATGGTTGTCCATCGCGACCTCAAGCCGGAGAACCTCCTGCTTGACGCCAACAACAACGTCAAGATTGCCGACTTTGGCCTCTCCAACACACTCGAGGACGGGTCGTTCCTCTCGACCTCGTGCGGCTCGCCCAACTACGCCGCGCCCGAGGTGGTCGGCGGCAAGGCGTATTCGGGCGAGGAAGTCGACGTCTGGTCGGCAGGCGTCATCCTCTACGCCCTCCTCTGCGGCCGCCTCCCCTTTGACGACGACTACATCCCCAACTTGTTCAAGAAGATTAAGGGCGGCATCTTCACCTTGCCGTCGTTCCTCTCCGACGGCGCCCGCTCGCTCATTCTCTCGATGCTTGTCGTCGACCCGCTCCGCCGCATCACCGTGGAGCAGATCAAGCAGCACCCGTGGTTCCTCGTCGACCTGCCGTCGTACTTGGCTGCGCCGCCCACCGCCGTCCTCAATCTACAGACCATTGACGAGGGCGTCCTCGCCCAGGTCGCGGCCCGCCTCGACATGCCGTACGACGAGGCTTATGCCGCGCTGCTAGAGGCTATTCCCAGTGCAGCCGCTTCCAGCGAGAGTGGTGCGCCAGGCGCGTCTGCAAGCGCAGCAGCCGATGCTCCTGGGCGCCTCGGCTCATCACCGCCAATACTTGTTGGCGCGAGCCGTGGCTCGCCGTCGGCGCTGACCCAGTCGCTTGCACCAACGTCAGCGTCGTCGCCGCCGCGGTCGCCCGCTGATGCGCGCTCAGGCGTTTATGGCGCGCGCTCGGCCATTGTTGTCGCATACCGACTCATGCTCGATGCAAGCACAACGTACGGCGCAAGTAGCCAGGGCAGTAGACAGGGCGGACAGGCGTCGGCGCCCGAGGGCGTGGCGCTCGCGGCGTCGCCGCCGGCATGGGACTTTAAGGAGGATCTGCTCGACCCGTCGCTGCGGGCCGGCGGCGTGCGGCCTGGCGCCGGTGCGCGGCGCCAGCAGCTGCCGTCGTACTCGCGCTACACGCTCGGCATCAAGTCGTCGTGTGCACCCAAGCACATCATGCACGAGGTCTACGGCGCGCTGCGGTCGCTCAACATGGAGTGGCGGGTGCTGAACCCGTACTCGATCATCGCCCGCATGGCCGAACAGGCCGACCCGCGGGCCGGACTCCGCTTCGGCATCACCCTCTACGAGATCGGCGCTCGCGTCTACGTCCTCGACTTTATGCGCCGCCGTGGGACCTCGTTTGCCTTTTTCGAGATCTCGCGTCGCCTCCTCGTAGCCCTCGAGAGCATCAAGTCGTCGTCGGCCGCGGTGTCGCGTCGCAACTCGGACGCCGCAGCGTCGACCCCGTCGCCGTCACCATCGCCGTCGTCGCAGCACAAGTAGCCCTTTGCTGGGCTTGTGATAAACAACCGCTGCCAGTACCGGCTGCTCCTCACTGGTCGAGCTCGGTCCGGTCAACTGGACACGTCCGTGCGTGGTTCCGCAGCCACTCGTCGATGCACTCGACGTGGAAGGCGTGTCCGCACGGCAGCTGCCGCACCGACTCGCCGGCCTCGTACTCGAACATGCAGACCGGGCAGAGCGCGTCGGCGTCGGCCACCGGATCGTACTCGCCCGGCCCGGACCCCACCGTGAGCGTCGGGAGAACGTCGACCGTGGCGGCGTCGAGCGTCCGCGCCTCGACAGTCTCGTCCAGCTCGAGCAGCAGCTCGTAGTCCTCGGGCGTGGCGTCGCGTGTTTGCAGCTCGAACAGCAGACGCGCCAGTCGCTCCTCCACTCCCAGATCCTCCATCAGCTGGCGAGTGTAGTCGTGCCGCGAGGCGGCGACCGGCTGCGGTGGCTGCTGCCGCTGCTGCCGCTGATGCCGCTGCTGCCGCGATCGCGTAGGCCGCGACGGCGCGTGGTACCGCGGTGTATCCGCGGCAGCGGCAGCGGCGGCGGCGAACGATGGCTCGAGGCCGGCGGCCGAGATGAGCAGGCCGAGTCGGAGGCGGGCGTTGTTCTTGCGGCGCTCGTTCTGCTCGACAATAGCAGCACGAGTGGCCTCGGCCTTGGCGTACACCGACGCCTTGATCTTGGTCTTCTTGGTGTGGATGACTCGGCCTAGATTCTCGTCATACCGCTCGTTTTGTCGCCGCTTGGGCTCCCGCTTCTTGCGCCCAGCCCCGCGCGGATGCGAAGCCTTTGATCGCGACGTCTCCCACTCGAGCGCCTGCGAGAAGGCCTTTTCAGTTGTTGGCGAGATGTACAGCTCGTCGACGGCCCATCCGTCGTCGTCGTCAACATACTCGCCACTGCCATCGCCGTAACCCCACTCGCCGCCACCATTGTCGGCTGCATTTCGCGCCACCTCTGCCGCCGCATCGCGCACAATCGCATAACCTTCCGAAGGGCCCTCACCCCCATCATCACCACCATCATCGTCATGGCCATCATCGTGAGCAGCAGCCGATGCCCACTCGGCAGCACCGACGTAGACGCAGATGGGGCAGGAGCAGAGCTGGATGCCAAAGGCAGGACCATGCTGATCATGATGCTGATCATGATCATGATCATGATCGTGCCTGTTCTCGTCCTCCTGGCTTGCTCGAGGTGAGCGACAGAGGCCCAAGCGGATGGCAAAGTGGCTCGGCACGGCCGAGTAGAGGTACGCCGAGGGCGTGTAGGAGTCGAGGGCGGCTTCTTCGGCCTGGTGGTCTGCCTGTGTCTGGGGGATGGCTACTGAGAGCTGCGGACGGGTGGCCATGATCTGGGGATGGTGTGCGGGGGTGTGACCATGCGATGAGTGTGTGTGCGTGGGGAGGAGGGGGGTGGGAGAAAGCGAGGGGAAGGGGAAGGGGAAGGGGGAGGGGGAGGGAGGGGAGGGAGCGGAATGGAAGAAGTGGGGGGCAACGATTATTTGTTGTTGGATTGATCGTTTGGGGGGGGCAAGGCAACGATTGCTTGTTGTTGGATTGATCGTTTGGTTACAGAGGGTGGCAAGGCAGGACCGCTTGCGGGTGTGTGTGTGTGTTTGGGGGGGAGGAATACACTCTACCATCAGCAGGCAAACAGTGTTTATCACGCCGCCGGCCACCCGAGGCTAAGGACGACCTTAGTTGTTGCGGTTCGAGTGGATGACGCCGTAGATGGGAAGGCCGATGCCGAGGGCAATGAGGGAAGCAACGCGGGCGGCGATGGAGGCGTTCGACGCGCCGACAACCTTGAACGGAACCGACGAGCCGTGGCCCGGGAAGCCATGCGACTCAACACCCCACGGAAGCGGACCGCCACCACGCGCAGCGCGGACCGACGACTGGCGCGCCATCAGCGAGGCCGAGGCGCGAGCGAGCGAGAGCATCGAGGTGCGAGCCGACATTAGATTGCGCTGCACAAACAAGCCGGCCACGCCGCCAAACACTGTGAGTCCTCCCTGCCCTTGGCACTCCCCGCTTCTCGCCCCCTCCGCGCCTCCCATTCTCCACAACTGGCTCATTGCCCAGCCCAGCCACCCAGTCCTTGCCCATAGCCGTCAGGGTGGTGCGGCGGGCGATGGATGGAAGCCAAAAATTGAGTCGCTGCTCAAGCCGCAGGTACTACCCATGGCCATACTGCCCGCGAAACACGACCCTCACGACTGCAACTTCGACAAATTGTGCACAACATCATAAACCATCTGCACTCCACTTTGAGGCTACGTACAATTGAAGACGGGTACAGACGACGTTGGTGTTGCTCTCGGTTGCTCCAGGGAAAGGCCATGTCGCGCGACCGGCTCTTGGCTGGAACCGGGTCAGAGGTGGTTGACAATTTGTGTCTCCTTTTTTTTTTTCTTTTTTTGTTGGCTGGCAACTCATGGTCCAACCCCCCCGCTCGGCAGTTGGCCGTTATGCATCACGAGAGCAATCCCTTCGGACGGAGAGACAATGCTATATCAAGGTACATGGAGATGGTTCTCTTGCTCGTCGCCGCGGGACTCATATCGTGGCCTGCTCTGCGCGTTGAGCTCCAAACGAGCTTGGCCAATTTAGACATGCGGCAAACCACCCAAAATGCCGAAATGTTCCTCAAACGCGCTATCAGCAATCCGTTTGCTGATGATGGCAATGAGGAGATCAACGGGCGTTAGCCACACTCGACTCTCATGGCGACACGGCGTTATGCTAGCAGAATGGCTGCCATGCTCGTTGGCTTAGTCATGGTCCTCTTGAGTGTGGCTGCCACAGGTCGTGCAGCTACGGTGGTGACGGTTAAAGGAAGCCCGACCGACGGCGATTTCATCGGCGCCCTGGCTCCTGGGAGCGGTTATGTGCAGGCGGAGCCGGACACTATCGAAGTGGCCAACAATGCCGAGCACGGGGCAGTCAACTTTGCTTTGGGATCGGCCATCACCTCCTCTACCGGCCTCGTCCATTTCCTCCCCTCGAGTGCTATCGTCTTTCAAAGGGTCGAGGCAGACCTGCCGTTCGATCTTCGCCTGGCCGTCATGTCTGCCACGGCACAGTACGAGGACAACGAGTTTGACGACTGGCCGTGGAGCACTGTCGACTCTTTTGATCATTTGATTGCTGGCAATCCGATGGTCGTTGGTACTTGGGACTCGGCCGGTAATCGGTGGCTGGTCAGGGGCACCGAGCTGGCTGACATGCTCACCTCTGCCTACTCCTATGGCGCCATTGACCGCGATCACCTGCTTGTCTTTATGGCACAGGACGGTTCTGCCTGTGGTGCAGGCGACTTGTGTCGAATCCATGTCGATCCGGTGCCCATGGTCTCTATCAACTACGTCGCCGTCTGCCCCATGCTCTCCGTCGAAAACGGCTCACTCTCCATCGATCCCACCACACTCACGACCGTCGCCCCTGTCGGTGACTCGCTGCATCTGAACTGCGATCCCGGTTTCGTGGCCACCACTGTCGATGGCCATGGCAACGTAACGTGCGACAGCTCTGGCGTGTATCTGCCAGGCACGCCGTCGTGCCAGCCTGTGGTACCATCACCGCCGCCGCCGTCGCCACCACCGTCACCGCCGCCGCCGTCGCCACCACCGTCACCGCCGCCCCCATCGCCACCACCGTCACCGCCGCCGCCGTCGCCACCACCGTCACCGCCGCCACCATCGCCACCACCGTCACCGCCGCCGCCGTCGCCACCACCGTCCCCTCCACCGTCACCGCCCCCGCCCCCCCCTGCTCCGCCCTGCGCATTGCCAGCCTTTGTCGACTCGTGCGGCATTTGCTCGGGCCACGGGACCGGCCACATTGCCGACTCGGACCTTGATAGTTGTGGCGTGTGCTTTGGTGGCAACGCCGATCTTGACGACTGTGGCGTGTGCTTTGGCAACAATGCCGCCAAAGACGGCTGTGGCATGTGCTACGGGAACAACGCGACGTGTGCCGGATGTGATGGCATCCCGTACTCGGGCACGGTCCCGGACATCTGCGGAGTGTGCGGCGGCGATGGCTCGGCCTGCTCCGGCTGCAACTTTATCCCGATCCCGCTGGGCGGCGTGTGGTGTGACGGATGCGGCGTGTGCGGTGGGCCATCGGGCATCTCGGCGTGCGCGACCTCGTGCTTGCCTGACTCCTTCGCGGTTAATGACTGCTTTGGCGTCTGCAACGGCACCGCGTATATCGATGAGTGCGGCATGTGCGTCGCAGGCTCCACATCGAACACGCCCAATGCGTTCAAAGACAGCTGCGGGGTGTGCTTTGGTGGCGACGCGGCACGCGACTCCTGTGGCGATTGCTTCGGCAACAACGTTCGCCGTGACGCCTGCGGCATCTGCGACGGGAACAATGCCTTTCGCGATGCATGTGGGGTGTGCTTTGGCGGCGATGCCGGCCGCGATGTGTGCGGGGTGTGCGGTGGCAACGGAAGCTCGTGCGTTGGATGTGACTTTGTTGTCGGATCTGGACAGGAGCTTGACGCGTGTGGCGTATGCGGTGGAAGCAATGCATGCCAAACCGCGCCTACCCGCCTAACCACGCTCTCGACTTCATCCATCGTCATGGTTGGTTCGTCGGCCTGCCTTGTCTTGTTCATCGCTACCGCCGCGGTCACGATTGTCATCCCGCGTCGCATGCGGCGCTCCAAAGTCGGCTTCATGGCTCGCAAGGAGGCCACCGCCCGAGCCGCTGCACCCACCGGCGAGCTCGCCATTCTCATCACTGACATTTCCTCGTCGACTGTGCTGTGGGAAGATGAGCCCGATGCTATGAAGCGCGCTGTAGTCCTCCACGATGCATGCATCCGCACAACGCTGGCCGAGTACGGCGGATACGAGGCCCGGAACGAGGGCGACTCGTTTATTATTATCTTTCCTTCCGCTAACATCCTCACCGCCATCGAGGCCGCCGTTGCCGTCCAAGAGGAGCTGCTCCAGGTTGAGTGGCCGCTAGAAATCCTTCGCCATCAACTCTGTCGATCCAAACTGCGCAAGTTGCAGGAAGGCATTGCGCCCGGTCCTCTGCGGCACACCTGGCGCGGGCTGCGGGTTCGGACCTGTGTCCACGTCGGCAAGCCGATTGCCTCGTTTGATGTGCGGACAGAGCGCATGGCGTACACCGGGAGCGCACTTGCCCATGGAAACAACATCCTCGCCGCCACCGAGCCGGGCCAAGTCACCATCTCAATGCGGGCTGTCGAGCGAATGCCGAACCACATCCCAGCCCACATCAACCTCGAGTACGTCGGCTACGTCGATGCCGGTGGCGGGACGCTCGACATGTTCAATGTCGCCGTCCAGGGCTCGGTCCTCATGTTTCGTCATTTTGCCGGTGTTTCGCGCAACAGATCCGACTCGCTCAGCGTCCAGAGCCGCCAGCAGGTCCTCATGCTCCGGCAGACTTCGACGCGATCGCGGCGGAGCCGCAACGGCGATCCACTGTCGACAAGCTCCAACCATCAGCTTTGTTCGTCTGCCACTCACGCGACTGGGATCTCCGTCAACCACGTCGAGCCGCAATCGCCTCCTCGCCCGGTCTCCGGCTTGGCCTCAGTCCCGATGGGCCTTGGCCGCAAGGCACCTCTCATGCTCTGGACCTCACATACTGGCTGCACTACACCGTCACGCCTCGACTCAACATCCTCCGACTGCTCCATGTTGCCAACGGATGCACCGCGAGCGCGCGCCACGACAGTCGACGCGCGCGTCTCCGGCCGAGCATCGGCCGACCCGACAGCCGAGTCTGTCGCTCACCAGCGGGGTTGCTCGCTACAGGGCTCGCGTGCTCGGACCCGAGTTCGGCGCACCATACGATCATCGTCGCCAGCACACGCCAACCGGCGAGCCATGCATCGCTCGGGCTCGCAGAGCCACGCCATCACCCCGCTTGCCGAGCCGCCAGCCAACCCGGCGTTCGCTTTCTTATCGGGCGCCATCGAGGCTTCGTCGGATGGGGATACGTCAAACTCGGGCAATGCGACCATTGCTGACCGTCACCGCCTTCGCATCGTGTCACGCGGTCATGTGTCCAACCACAATCTCCGCGAGACCATCGGCGGCGGCGGCATTCCCAAACGATCACAACGCCCCAAACGCAACATGAGCCACAAGAACAGCAACCCAGCTCCGAAGCGGGTGTTTTCTTCGCCCGAGCTGGACTCGCTCGACCTCGATCGTGTGCCAGGCACCTCTGGCTTGTCGCCCGCACACTTTCGCGCTTTGGCCGCCGAGGAGGCCGCCGCCTCCGCAAGTGGCACCATCGAAGCCCTTGTCTCGCCGACCACGGACGAGACCAACCCCTTTGCCCCATGTGCGGTCCCGAGCACGATTCTGCGCAAGCGCAAGCGCAAGCGCAAGCAACACCCTGCGTATCGCAATATCTCTCTGGGCGTGGCTGACTCGACTCGCGCCCGCACGCGAGCACGATCGCACACGCGGTCGCACTCCCCAGCCTCCCCAGCCTCCCCAGCCTCGCCTGCACCGATGAGACGCAAGAAGAGCCCAAAGCCACGCTTGTCAGCTGCGCTCGATATCATCAGCACAGCAAAAGCGTCGTAAAGCTGTTCGGTTCCATTGCCTTGTCCTTGACATGTACCTGCATTCCACCGGGACACCCACCCCTTTCCCGCACCCGCACCCAGCCCGCAGGTTGTTTTTCTCCGCACCCATTGCCACACGGTGAGCCACGCCAAGCGTCAGAAGGAGGCATGGTAACTCCCCTCTCTTCCGTATGAAACCATTGTATCCTTGGCGGATGCCTCTGGTGTTTATATGTCTCTCTTGGTTCGTCATCGCCGCCCTAGCCCTGGCTGGCAAGCCGGGCAACGATCGTGGCAGTCTCCATCTTGTCACATTGGTCGCCACCCATTCAGACAGAACAATCATCGATGGCCTCCCCCACATCGGCTTGACCCTGCCACCAGCCTCGCACAGCCAGGCCATCGTCATCCACGCCGCAACTCTGATGGTCTCGCGCTCGAACTCAATCGCTGTGGCGAGCTCTACCATCTGGCATGATCCCCTCGTGCCCCAGACCATTGTCGTAGATGTGGGAGTCTTTCGTCCTCTTGGCAAGCTCACGGCCCCGGGGATGATTGTCACCGGAGCTGCCCGTCTACCACTTGTGTGGGCGCCCGGCCACCGGCGCGCCACGATCCGCAGTCTCGAGCTCGTGCGACTGCTCTCAGACGCACAAAAGGTCGCTGGCGACGAGTTGGATGTCGTGGTGCGGATCGGGACGGACGAGAGCAGCGCGCCGGCAGAGATCGAGATCGCAGCCCTGGACGTTGTGGTCTCGCTCGCGACCGCTGACTCCATTCACACGCCTTCTCGTGCGAGACAAGGCGTGTCCAGCGATGTGTGCGGTGGCGATGGCCTCCCCGACTCGTGCGGCGTATGCTCTGGGCCTGGAACCGAGCACGTGGCCGACTCGGATGTCGATGCCTGCGGCGTGTGCTTTGGGGGCAACGCCGATCTCGACTCGTGCGGCGTGTGCTGGGGCAACAACAGCTCAGTCGATGTCTGCGGTGTGTGCTTTGGCGATGGCCGCCAATGTGTCGGCTGTGATGGTGTGCCCAACTCGGACGCAGTACCCGATGTCTGCGGCGTGTGCGGCGGGGACGGCAGCTCGTGCCTTGGCTGCAACGGCCTACCGATGCCGGACGGCGGGCAGGTGTTTGACGGATGCGGAACGTGTGGCGGGCCATCTGGCGTGGGCACGTGTCCTGCCGCGTGCAATGGTCTTGGTGCGGTGCACGACTGCGCGGGGGTGTGCGGTGGCGAGGCATACGTCGACGGATGCGGCGTGTGCGTCGGTGGGACCACCGGCCGAACGCCTGGCAGCCATCGTGATGCATGCGGAGAGTGTTTTGGTGGCGGCCGAGCGCGGGATGCATGCGGTGTGTGCTACGGCGGCGGGCAGGCAATGGACAGATGCGGGCTGTGCGGCGGGCACGATGCAGGCCGTGATGCATGCGGGGTGTGCTGGGGCGGAAACGCGACGCTCGATGCGTGCGGTGTGTGTGGCGGCGATGGTCTCAGCTGCGTTGGATGCGACTTTGTGCGCGGATCAAGGGCGCAGCTGGATGCTTGTGGGGTTTGCGGAGGGAGCGCGATAGGATCGTGCGCTGAGAGCAGCGCGCCATCCAGTGAGCGCCGACGTCCGGTCGAGTCTGTGATGGCAACATCAGCTGTTGTCGGCCTGGGTGCCAGCATCATCCTTTGCTTGTATGTGGCGCTTCGATTGCGACGTCGAAACGCTGTTGGCGACGAGGAGGTCTGGGCAGCTGAGGATACAGCGATGGCGGCAGATGCTGCTCCCAATGGCTTTGCTGTGATCCTCATCACCGATGTGGTCGGCTCGACTCGGCTGTGGGAGGAGCTTCCCGAGGCGATGGAGAAGGCCATCGATGTGCACAACGAGCTTGTGGCGCACATCATCAAGGACTTTGGCGGGTACGTGGCGCGAACCGAGGGCGATGCATTTGTGGCTGTCTTCCCCGCCAAGGGTGCCCTGCGAGCCGTCGAGGCCGCGTTGGCGATCCAGACCCAGCTGCTGTACGCAGAGTGGCCAGACGCCGTGCTCGAGCATCCAACCTGCCGGACCGAGGCGGCGACCATGTCTGGACCCCGCGGCTACCCGCTGTGGCTATGGCGTGGCCTGCGGGTCCGCATCGGGCTCCACGCCGGCAATCCGGTGGTTATGCACGACACGCGAACGCAGCGGGCGGCATATACCGGGGCGGCCATGTCGCATGCAGATGCGGTAGCGTCGGCGTCGGCTGCCGGCCAGGTGCTGATGACCGCCGAGACGCGTCAGACTCTTCCGGCCACCTTGCCTTCGCACATCTTTATCGAGCACGTCGGATGCGCCAAGGGCCCACCGGACGGCGCTGCATACTTTGATGTCTACTCGGTGTCGAGCCAGGGCTCGGTCGTGGCCTTGCGGACGTTTGATCCTCTCCCGCAGCCGTGGGAGCTCTCGTCGGGCATGCTTTTATCACGCTCGTTGGACGGGCAAGGCTTTCCGGACATGGGCTCGGCCAGCTCGCTCCGATCAAAGCGATCTCGTCGAGAGACCGAGATGCAGTCGGACTTGAGGTGGAGCTCGTCGATGGCCGGCGGTGAGACGTTTCTGTCGGAGCGGACCGGCAACGAGTTTGCGCTTAGGAACAACTCGGTGGCATTTGATTTGGGAGCGATCAGCGTAGACGAGTCGACTTTGGTCTACTCGGGCGAGCTTGATCGGCGGCGATCGCGGGGCTGGCTCTCACCGCAGAACTCGGGAATGATTTCGGTGTCGTCCCACGGCCAGCGGTCGCGCGAGTTGTCCGACATGGGGTCATTGCAAGATGATGACGGCACGGGATCGAATGCGAGCAAGTCGAAGCGATCGAAGAGGACGTCGACGCTCAAGAGCCTCCGTGCGCTGGGGCGCAACGGGCGAGTTGTGTCTGGCGGGCCGATCTCGCTCAATCCGGCACACCTCCAGTCAATGGAGCTCGAGCCATTGGAGCGGTCGAGGTCGAGGTCGCGAACAAGCAACGGCAAGCGGCGGCGATCGTCACTCTCGCTCGCAATCTCGCCCGCTGTCATGAACCGCAACTTTGTCGACGGACAGATTCGGGAGATGATGGGCAAAGTCTCGGACACGGGCTCAGTGTCGTTGTCGATGTCAATGTCACCAGGCTGCTCGGGTACCTCGCGATCAGCGCGGACGCTTGCTGGTGCCCCCTGCACATCCAAGGCTATGTACACACGGAGCGCCAAGTCGAGCATCGACGAGTCGGTGGCATCGTCAAAGTCACGATCCCGGATGGGCCGCTCGTTTGAGGGCGATATGTGGCGCAACGATGACCAAGTCGACGACCTTGTGTCTGAGGTCTCGCTCCCGCGCGCTTCCCTCGCGGTCCATGACCAGAGCAAGACTCGGCGGTCGCGTCGCATGGTTATGCGCCCGGTCCCGCTGTCCCGCTCGCAGGATGTGGAGCTGGAGAGCCTAGAGGCGATGATGGCCGGATCGAGCAGCAAGTCGACGGCAAGCGATGACCGTAGCTGCCAGGCCCAGATCGCCGAGCTTGTGGGCTCAAGCCAGAGCGAGGGCAGCAACAGCGTCAGCACCTCCTCGAGTCGGATCATCGACTCGAACAGCGACTCCTACACTGGCTAGCAGAGCAGATTATAGTGAAGGATGTATGTGTGTGTGTATGGCTGCGATGAGGCACGGCTCGTGCACGTGTGTTAGCGATCTTGGCCGTATCCTTGAGCATCACGATGACGGCCATGGCCACGAGTTGTGTCACCATCGCCAGCATGCCCAGCAAGAAACGCCAGCTCAGCCCCGAGCCCCAAGACGGTATGCGGCAGGCCCTCCTTCCCGCCCCCACCCTTCCGCGCCATTGCCGGCAAGAGGTTACGCGTTCATGTTAATCTGCAGCTCGAACACCTCGAGGCTGCCATCCCGACGGACTACCCCCGCCCACGCCACATTCCCCATCATTCTCCGTAAGTACTGCCCGTCTCGCCTCTCCTCCCCTTCCGCTCTCTTACTCTGTCTCGTCCTCTCCAGAGTTGGCACCGGTCATAGCCATGGCGCGTAGGCCGCGGCGGCCGAGCCAAAGTTGCGCGCCAAAACGTACTGTTGCACACAATGTCGTCGGTGGCGACGTCATAAGAGGTCTTGAGATGCTTCTGAAGATGGCAAGGGGAGGCATAGAGAGTGAGTATCATGGCCATGGTGGGAGGGCCTGGGCTTGGCGGTGGGGAAGGGGAGGGGGAGGGGGTGCAGGGCGTGGTGGCCTTTTCCTGCAGGGTGGCGATCAGGGCGGTGATCACGGTCGTGATCACGGGCTGGCGACAGCGGGCACGTACGCGGACGACGGCAAGGAGATCCTCCTGCATCTTGGCCATGTCAACAGCTTCTGTCAGTGACGACGATGCGTCCATGCGCGACTTGGCAAGGATGATCTGAAGTCTGTCGCGTGCAACGTGGGCAGAAGCCGCGCTGGCAGGAAGCATGGAGGGGAAGACCCGTCCCACAAGCGAACGAAAGGCCATTGACAGACGACAATCCGCGACGAGTGTAACCAAGCCAGTCGTCCCGCCATCCGCATCATGCACGGGTGAGTCGCTAGAACCACATATGGCCATCCACCCACACCCATACTCACGCTACGTGTTGCTATCTCTACCGCTATCCATGTATGTCGTACTATGTGGTGTGCATGGATGATGGCGCGGCGAGCGCGGGCGCTTGGCGAGCGAACGAAACCTAAAAGTCACATTCGAATCGAGGGGGGGGCGGGGGGAGGCGAGCCAGCGACCGGCACCGTGAGCGAGCGGGCGAAACTTGGCCTCGGACACCACTCGACGCCTTGTCCACTATGTTTAGCCTTGCTCGGACCCGTCTGGCTGCTGCCACTCTGACTGCTACTGTACGTGTTGTCCCTTGTGAACGTTGTATCCTTGCCACAAGAGAAGAAGGGCGGGATGTGGTGTGGTGTGTGTGTGGCGGTGTGTGTGCGTGTGTACCATAGGGTTCAAACGGGCCAGCTGTGTGCTCAGTTTTTGGATGCGCTGCGGGTTGGCGGCGGTGGTTCGACGGGGAGGCGAGGGGGGGGAGGGAATGGCCAGGTTGGGCAAGGCTCTGTCGCCACGTATAGTCTATATGAGATGCCCCAAGTATGTCTACTACAGAGAACAAAGACTGGTGTACAATCCTAGCCAACCTGTCTACAATGTGCTTGTCTTGTGCTTCCCCTATGCCCATCCCCCGTCGCTGTGTCGCGTTGCCAGCACAGCGTCAATTTTTCAATGACCGACCCGAGCTCGGAGCCCACAGCCAGGGAGCGGGAGCCCGGGAGCCGGAGCCGACCACCCCCACCACCATACTCACTCACTACCATTGTATACGCTGCATACAACTGTTATTGCTGCTGTTTGCAACTGCTACTGCTGCTGCTGCTGATGCTGCTGCTGCTGCTGGATGGACGCGGATTGATGTGATGGTCTCGCTGGCCTGGCTTCCCCTCTCTCGCTCACTCCACATCTCGGTCTACTTCTCTGTCTCCATCTTTGTCTTTTATCGTTGTCTCGGCTACCTGGTCTGGCTTGCTTTGTTGACTCGGTTGGCTTGCTCGTCGGTGTGTTGGTCGGTTACTCTGGTCACAGCGCACATATGCGGCTACTGCCGCGGCTTCGTCCTCGGGCGGTGCTCCGCTGAAGCTCTTTGGTGTGTCTGGGCGTTACGCCACGGCGCTCTACCGGGCTGCTGCGGCGTCCAAGGCTACCGCGCAGGTTGAGGGTGACCTGGCCTCGATCGGCGGCGCCATCGAGTCGTCGGCCAAGTTTGCGGCCTTCCTCAAGAACCCGTTTGTGTCGGGTGACGAGAAGCTCAAGGTTCTCGATGCGGCGCTCTCGAACGCGTCCAAGGTGACCAAGGCGTTCTTTGGCGTCCTTGCTCAGTCGAACCGCCTGGCTGATGCTGATGTCATCATCGCCGCCTACCGCTCCATGATGATCGCCGAGCGTGGTGAGGTCATTGCCACCGTCACCCTTGCCCAGGAGATGTCGTCCAACGAGGTGGCGGCGCTCAAGAAGGAGCTCGAGACCAAGTACCTCGCCAAGGGCGAGTCGCTTGAGCTCACCACCCAGGTCGACAAGGACATCCTCGGCGGCTACATTGTTGAGATCGGCGACAAGTACCTCGACCTCTCGCTCTCCACTCGCCTGGAGGACATGCACAAGCTCCTCCAGGAGTCGATCTAACTCGTCAACTCCCTCGACCCCACCCCCTTCCCCCCCCCCCTCCCTCCCCTCCGTCCTATGTGACCAAGTGCCATAACACGCCATGAGTCGACCATGCCTGTCACTCACTCTGCCCCCTTCACGTCACACACCTGCCCGACTTGACTGGGCTGACTCTCCTGCCCTTCCCCTCCTCCACGAACCCCCCCCCCGTCACCAACCCCCCCCCCCCCCTCCCCCAGGAGCATGGACGAGCAGCTTGCCCAAGTCCGTCGTGCGGCCCGGGAGCGGTACCTGGCCCAGCAACAGGGACGAGGAGCAGGCGCAGGTGATGGGCTTGCTGGCCGCGGCGGCGACGCCTCGAGACGGACGACGACGACGACGACAACAACGACGGCGGCGACGACGACGACGACGGCGGCGGCGACGACGACGACGGCGGCGACGGGGACGGGGATGAATAGTTGGCGAGGCATGAGACAGAGCTCTGGGCGGACGATGGGTGACAGTCGGATGACTATTGACGGCAACGAGGCTCTGATGCGATCGCTGGCGGCGTCACTGGCGGCTAGCGAGGCGGCGCGGGCTGCGGTGTATGAGACGGTGGACAAAGCGGAAGTGCCTTTGGCGGAGACTCGGCACGCTGATGTGATGTCGGATGAGGCACTGGCGAGGGCTCTGCAGGAGGAGGAGGAGGAGGCATTCCGGCGGGAGCAGGTGCGGCGGTCAAGGCGGCGAGCGCAGGAGGCACGCGAGGCAGCAGAGCGGGCGCTGGCGCGCGACGCGCTGGGCGGCGGCAGCAGCTCGGAAGATTCCGACGTCGTCGATGATTGGAGGAGCGAGACGGCGGCCATGTTGGCATGGCAGCTGCGGCAGATGGGGGGGGAGATGCCGGACGACGACTTTGGTGATGTGGATGTGGCTGGATGGCGGCGAAGGGCCGATCCGCTGAGTAGGATGCCCAACTCTCTGGGGCGGGCCGGTGATCGGCTTGTCATCACTCCACAGACGTTCAACCGCATCCGCGGGCTCCGTGACGACGGCACGCCTGCGGTTGTGCTTCCGCCGGGCTTTGGCGGCGCCGGTGAGCTGTCGTACGAGGAGATGATGGAGCTTGAGGAGCGGATGGGCCCAGCGGTTCCGCGAGGGGCATCAGATGCGGCCATCGACGCGCTGCCGACCTTTGTCGTCGGCCAGAGTGCGCCGCCGACCAGCAGTGGTGACACCTTGACCTGCGTCGTCTGTCTCTCCGAGCTCGTGGCCGGGCAAGCAGCCAAAACGCTCCCATGCCTCCACGTCTTCCACACGCAATGCATCGACGAGTGGCTCCGGCGCGTCTCCAACTGTCCAATGTGCAAGTATGACGTTCCCAAGTGATCGACCGGCCGACCTGCGACCGACCTACGACCGATCTACGACCGATCTGCGACCGACCTGTAACTGATCTGCGACCGACCTGCGACCGATCTGCGACCGATCTGCCCCGCGACCGATCTGCGACCGATCTGCGACTGACCTACGACCGATCTGCGACCGACCTGTAACTGATCTGCGACCGATCTGCGACCGATCTGCGACCGATCTACAACCGACCTGCGACCGATCTGCGACCGATCTGCAACCGATCTCGACCAACCAGCGACCGATCTGCGACCGATCTGCGACCGATCTGCGACCGATCTGCAACCGATCTGCAACCGATCTCGACCAACCAGCGACCAACCAGCGACCAACCAGCGACCTGCGACCGTCCAGCAACCGACCGGCGACCGACCGACCGACAGAACAAAGAGCGCCAAAAGCAAGTGGGCAGGCAAAAGCCTCCCTCCCCCCCCCCCCTTCCCCTCACCCCCACACCCCACACCCCACACCTTTCAACTACCTCATTCAAGCAAGATGTCTTCCTCTGTCCGTGCCTCGCACCTCCTCATCAAGCACTCTGGCTCGCGGCGTCTGGCGTCGTGGCGCGACCCGGACGGCGAGCGAATCCGTGCCACCGACAAGAGCGATGCCATTGCTCAGCTCAAAGCCATCCGTGAGCGGATTGTGTCGGGCGAAGTGACCTTTGCCGATGCTGCTACTGAGCTCTCCGACTGCTCCTCTGCTCGTAATGGTGGTGATCTGGGTCACTTTACCCGTGGCCAGATGCAGAAGCCCTTTGAGGATGCTACCTTTGCCCTGGCTGTCGGTGACCTCTCTGATGTCGTCGACACTGACTCGGGCGTCCACATCATCCTCCGCACTGCCTAGACTGTCGAGATGTACACATCGCTGAGCTCGCCCTCGCTCTCTCGCCTCTCGATCTCACCCTCGTCTCTCGTCCTCGCTCACTCGCTTGCCCTCGTTCTCTCTCGCCTCTCGATCTCGATTTCGTCCCCTTTGTCCTCGCTCTTCTTGCCCTTGTCTATGCGTGCTTGGCCTCATCCACGCCCTCGCTCTCGTTCTTTCTCTTTCTGTTGCTTTGGATGATCTCCTTCACACAGGCAGACGGCCATCTTCCTCTCACATCTCGATGTAGCCCTGGTAGCCCTCCCCGCTCATCGAGCCCCCGGGCTAAACCATCATCGACCGGCGGCGGCATTGAGCTGCTTCCGCTTGGCCAGAGTGGCGTAAAAGGCGGCAAGGCATCGGTGGACAGCATCGGTCGCAGGCTCGCAGTCTGCAAACGGGAGCCATCCCCAGAGGGTGCGAGTGCGGCAGGCCGAGAGCGCAGCCGTGTCGGCCGGGCAGACGACCCGGCCTGCGCAGAGGAGGGCGGCTTCCCTGGCCTTGGCACACGCCCCAGGTTGAGCAGGGACCACACCGCGTGATTGTCTCGCTTCGCACGCCGCGAGCTTGTCGTTGACCTTGCGGCAAGCGGCGGTGAGCTCGGCCTCCACCCCGCGGGGCACAGGCGCCGGTGCGCCGTCGACTAGCTGGGCCACCGCCATGGCGCATGTCGACAGCTTGCTCGCCTCCGCCTGACACACTGCTGTCTCGGGATGCTGCGCCATGAGATCCAGCTGGCTGGCTGCCGCATCGCCGCCTGCAGCGCTCTGGAGATGGACCTCAAGACACGCTTCGTAGTCGGCTACGATGGACGGGCACCCGGCCCGTGCCCTGCAGAGGCCCACCGCAGTCTCAACTGCTCCCGCAACCCGCCAGCCCGGCCCGCGTCACGTTCATCGGGCACCATTCGGCATGCAGCATTTTTTCGCGCATTTCGTGTGAAAAACCTCGTGAGTTCATCGCTCCTGCTCCCCCCCCCCCCCCCCTCCCCCCTTACTCGGCTACTGGCATCGACGTACACTTGCGACACTTTGGATGGAGGGGACCCTCGCGCTGGCGGCAGGCGGCAAGCGCAGCCTCGGGATCGCCGCATCGGCGACGGAGGAGGGCCACAAGCTCGGTAGACTCGGCGTGGGCGGCCATGAGTGCAAGAAAGACCGGCTAGACGGGCTGGGCGGGGTGCAAGACAAGTGTGGCTTCTAACGGACGGGCAGTGCTCGGCTGCTGGTGGGCATTGGGGGGCGATGGGAGCCGAAGCGATGTTTACTGCCCGCGTTAGCCAAAGCGGATGACGCCAGCGGCACGGAGCTTGAGAATCTTGACCGACATGGACGGGTCGGCCATGAGGTCCTTGGCGGCGGCGGGGTCTGAGGCCATGGCCTGGAGAGCCGACTGGACGTTGGGGTCGGCGTAGAGGCGCTGGATGTCCGGGTCGGAGAGGGCGCGTGCGCGCTCGGCCTCCTGCTCCTCGGGAGTGCCCGGCGGGTTGAGCTCGCGGGCGCGGATGGCGTTCTCGACCTTGATCATCTGCTCCTTGGCCTCTGTGTTCTCGGGCTCGAGCTCGAGCATGGTCTGGTACGTGTCGATGCACTTGTGGTACTGACGCATGAGGAACTCGATCTGGCCACGGCGCGAGTAGGCGCGGATAAAGTCGGGCTTGATCTCGAGGCAGGCCTCGATGTCCTTGAGAGCCTCGGGCAGGGCGCCGAGCTTGATGTACGACGCGGCGCGGTTGGAGTAGAACGTGTGGTCCTTCGGGTTGCGCTTGATAGCCTCGGTGTAGTGCTTGACAGCGGTCGGATAGTCCTGGGCGCGGAAGGCGTCATTTCCCTCGGCCTTGGCGGCGGCGGCCTTGTCGTCGTCGTAGTACGCCTTGGCGGCGGCCTCGCGCTTGAGGCGCTTGGTCTTGTTGATGAGCTTGAGCGTGGGCGCGGTGCGGTGCTCGCGCTGAGCCGACTCGAACGCAGCAATGGCCTCGTCGTACATCTTCTGGCGGAGGAAGCAGTTGCCCTTGCGGGTGAGGATCTTGGCAAGGGTGGCGTAGTCGGCGCGGGTCTCGCGGGCAACGTCCATAGCCTTCTCGCACGTCTCAATGCACGTCTCGTACTCGCCCTTCTCGAGGAAGACCGAGGCCTGGTTGAGGATGTACGTGACCTCGTCAGGGAGGAGCGACTCAGCCTCACGGTACTTGGCGAGTGCGTCGTCAAACTTGCCCTTCTTGTACAGCGCATTGCCTTCGCTCTTGATAGCGTCGGCGCGGGCCTTGGTCTCGGCGCGGGCCTTGGCCTCCTCGTCGACCTCGGGCTCGGGCTCGGGCACCGGCTCGGGCGCCGGCTCGGGCTGCGAGCTCGACGGCGGGGCCGATGACTCGGCGGCGGCTGCCGCACCGTCGGCGGCGGCGGCCGCAAATGGGTTGTTGGCGCCGGGCGGCATGTTGGCGCCGAGGAGCATCATGAAGACGGCCTGGAACCGCGGATCCTGCATGTACTGCTGGACGGCAGTCCCGGACTTGTCATTCTGCACCGCCTGGATCATCTGCACAAAGTCCGGCTGGCTCATGTACTCGCGCGTCTGCGGGTTGGTCGCAATCTTAGTCCACACCGTCTCGTCAAAGAGCGAGGCGAGCGGATTGGCAGGCGCGGCCTCGGCCTCAAACTTGGCCTTGGCATCGGCAATAGCCTGCGCACCCGACGTAGCCTCCAGGCCAGTGTCGTAGGCAGCCATCGCGTCGTCAGTCCGCCCCAGGAACCGGAGCGCAGTGGCCTTGCGCAGGTAGCCCTTAGGCCAGTCGCCCTTGATCTCGATCACCTTCTCGGCGTCAGCCAGAGCATCGTCGTACTTTCCCATTGCTGAGTACGCCGCCGAGCGGTTCGAGTACGCCACATGGTAGTTGGCGTCGGCCTCAATGGCCGCCGTAAACTTGGCCACGGCCGTCTCGTAGTCCTTGGCCGTAAAGGCCGCGTTGCCCTCGTTCTTGAGCGCTTCAGCCTGTTGACCACCATAATGAGCAAGTGAGTATGGCATACTGTCTTTGAGTGTGGCCAGTGTACAAGTGCACAGTCGTGACTCACCAATCCATGCCCATGCCCATGTGCAGCAGCATGACCGCAGCCCCTGGCCAAGGATCGTGTTCGTGATCATGATCATGATCATGATCGCGATCACGATCACTCGGACACGAGGGGGCGGCTTCGGGTCACCCTTCTACCCACCCATACAAACGATTCCCACCCCTCAGGACAACCAGTATTAACCTCTACCACCAGAAGCTCTATATCTTCCTCACTAGCTACTTTCCCCGCTCTCAAACATCATGATGCAGGCCTTGGATGCCAAGCAAGTCGCGCCCACCCATGCCGTCTCGGCGACCGAAACCTTCGCGAAGCCACTGAAGGCTTCACGACCACAGCCTCCCCCTCTCCCCTCCCCCCTCCCCTCCTCCTCTCCGCCAGCCAGCACCACCACCACCACACACAGCCGGGCCAGACAGTCAGCCCAGCCTTCCCCTTCCCCAGCATGTATCCATAGGCTATGGGAACATTCTCTAGCTCAGGTGTGGGTGATCGGTCGGATACGTACACTGGACATGGTTGGTCAGTCGGTGCGTCGAGTGGTGCGGCGCAGTCGTGCTTGGTCTCGGTCCCGATGTCGACACGCGATGTGGTGCGAGTGCCGACCAGATTGCTCCCCCCCCCCCCCCTCTCTCTCTCTCTCCCCTTTCCTCCCATTCTGGTCGTGGTTCAAGACGGGTATTAGTTGTTGGCCTTGGCGGCAGCGCGCGCCTTTTGGGCCTTGATGTACGCCTCGGAGATGACGTCAAAGTCAAGGACGGCCGTGTTGTACAGCGCGACGTAGTCGAGCTCCGACTCGACCGAGTTGTCGATGAGATGGTTGAGGATGTGCTTGGTGCCGGTGACGGCCGGGCGCGGGTTGGCGGCGATGGTCTGGGCCATGTCGAGTGCGGCGTCGATGACGGCGTCGGCGTCGTCGGCGAGCTGTGGCGCAACGAGGCCCATGGCGGCGGCGGTGGGCGCGTCGACGTCGCAAGCGGTGAGCGCAAGGTGGCGTGTGTGGCCCTGGCCCACAATGTGCGGCAGCCGCTGGAGCGAGCCCATGTCGGCGGTGATGCCGAGCTGGGCCTCACGGACTGAAAAGTTGGCGTCGCGGGCGGCGAGGCGGATGTCGGCGGCGGTGATGATGTCAACGCCGGCGCCGATGCAGTGCGAGTGGACGGCAGCGATGACCGGGACCTCGATGGTGGCCAGCGTCGAGATCGAGGCCTGCCACTTCTTCAGCTCGGCGTACATTTCCGGCTTGCGCGACTTGTCCATCAGCACATGCCCAAACTCGGCCATGGTAGCCTCGACGTTGAGCCCGTACGAGAAGGCCCGCGCCCCACGCTCCGCAGAGAGCACCACCACGTTGACCTCGGGCATGGCCCCGAGCGCCGAAAAGGTGGCACCCAGATCGGTAAAGAACGACGGCGCCACAGTGAGCGAGGTCAGCTGGACATGCGCCACTCCGTTGTCCAGCATCTCGGTCCGCATGTTGGACGACTCAGGCAGGTAGCCTTGAGCCGGAGCGGCGGCGGCGCTGTCTGATGTCGATGCCATCTCGTCGGCATTTTCCTTGACCAGGCCATCGACCAGCTGGATGTATGCATCCTGGGCGTCCTCCTGCGGCATGTCACTCAGTCCGTGCCAAGCATCCCACTTTGCGCGGTTGACCATGTTGAGCATCGACGGACGATCAGTCTCGCACGGGCCAACCGTCGCCTGCTTGTACAGCGCATACAGCCGGAGCAGTGTCTCGTTCGACGGCCGCTTGTTCAGACTGTCTACCTTTGCCCGTGCTGAATCAAATGCCTGCGACGAAGCCTGAGCAATGTGTTCATGAAGCCTGCCCAGACCAGCCACGCCTGCTGCTCCGGCCACCTTTCCCGATGTAGCCGTCCGCCGCCAACCCATGGTCACTCCACGGCAGAGTCCAAGCATGGAGAACATGATGTGATTTTCTGAGAAGGAAGTATATGTGTGTGTGTGTGTGTATGTGTGTGTGTGTGTATGTGCGTGTGTGTGTAGATGGAGAGGAGTGGTTGTGGTTGTAGTCGTGGTCGTGGTCGTGGTCGTGGTCGTGGTCGTGGTCGTGGCCGTGGCCGTGGTGGCGATAAGTGTGGCACTCGTCGCAAGTCACCACGGCATGTCGTCATCGTCAGGCCTTCCGCCGCCGGGATATACCGAGCCTGTGGGCAAAGGTGTGAGTAGCGCACCTCCTCCGATGTACTCTGATCAAGCTCCGCTCATCGCCAATGAGCATGGCCGGCGACAGGGCCCGCCGCCCGCTCCGCCGTCGCTGTGGAAGGACGTGCCCTTCGCGGTCGCCTTTGTCCTCCTCCTCGTGGGTACGCGCATGCCCTCCGCCACGCCCCTCGCCCTCGCCCTCCCCCTCCACTCTCCGGTGGCCGTCATCCCCTGACACCCACCGTCTTGCTTGCCGTCCCCTCCCCTGCTCCCCTCCCCTGTCCCCCCTCCCCTGCCCCCCTTCCCTGTGCCTCCCAGCTTTTGATCACGATCACGAACACGATCAACCCCGCCGTCATGGCCGCCACGCCCTTTCCCTGACTCCCCCCCTCTCCCTCCCCCTTCCTCCCCCTCCCCTGCCTTCCCGTCCCCGTCCCCATCCCCGTCCCCGTCCCCCCCTGTTCCGTTCCGCTCACACTCACCCATCTCCCCCCCCCCCTCTCACGCACCAACCCGTGACCTCGCACGTGCGACTCTGTGCAGCATTCGTCGTCTTCTCGGCCGCAACGTGGAACCGCAACTTCCTCAACGAGCACAAGCACTCGGAAAACGATGGGCAGGAGAAGTCATCCGGGAGCGACCTCGATCCGGAGCTGCTGCGCAAGATGGGCCGGATTGCGGCGTACTGCACCGGGCTGGGCCTTCTGTTTGCAGCGCTCTGGCTCCAGATCTGCAAGCAGTTCCCGAAGCAGATGATCTACATTGCGCTCATCACCAACGTGGTCATCTGCTTTGGCATCGCCATCCTGTTCTTTGCGTACGGCATCATCATTGGCGGGCTCATCTGGCTCTTCTTTGCTTGCATCTCTGTCCTGTTCTACTTTTTCTGGCGGCGGCGGATTCCGTTTGCGGCGCAGATGCTGGCGACGACGGTTGGCGTGGTGCACGAGTTCCCGGCCATGGTCGGCTTCTCGTTCCTCTCGCTCTTTGCTCTGCTGACGTGGGTGGTGATGTGGGTCTTTGGCGCCTCGTCGGCGGCCAACATCAACAACGCTGGGCTCTACGTCCTCTGCGTCTTTGTCTTTTACTGGGTGGCGCAGGTGATCAAGAACGTGATCCACGTGACCTCGGCTGGCACCTTTGCCACGTGGTACTTTTTCGCCGGCTCGGCCGAGTTCCCGGCCAACCCGACGGTGGGCGCGTTCAAGCGTGCAACGACGTACTCGTTCGGCTCAGTCTGCTTCGGCTCGCTCATCATTGCCGTCATCCAGACCGTCCGCTTTGTTCTCCGCTCGGCGCGCCGTGCCAACCGCAACCAGTTTGTTGTCGCCTGCGCCGACTGCCTCCTCGGCTGCATCGAGTCGCTCGTCCAGTACTTTAACGTCTACGCCTTTACCCAGGTCGCTGTCTACGGCAAGGGCTACCGCGAGGCTGCGTCGGACACCTGGGATCTGTTCAAGTCGCACGGCTTTGACGTGATCGTCAACGATGACCTCATCGGCTCGGTCCTCGGCTTCTCGTCCTTTGTCTCGGGCCTCATGGTCGCCCTTGCCGCCTTTGCTTGGGGCGCTTACGAGCTCGGCACCTCGGCTCACGCCCTGCCCTACCTCATCGTCCTTGTCATCATCTGCTTCTTCATCGGCCTCATCGAGGCCTCGACTGTCTTTGAGGTCGTCAACTCGGGTGTCGCCGCCATCATGGTCTGCTTCTGTACCGCGCCCGACGTCCTTCAGCAGCGCCAGCCTGCGCTCTACAACCGCTTCCGCGAGCTCTACGGCCGCCGCATCGGCTTCTTCACTTCGGGCTAACCTGTAGTATCCTCTCTTCCACTGGGGCTGGCCATGTAGGCGCCCCAATCCAAAAAAACCACTCCCCCCCCCCCCCCCCCTTTCCGGCCCGCCACGCAACGGCAACTGCACCCACCGCCATTCGACTCTCTTCACCAGTTGAAGGAGTAGTCATACGCACAAGCATACGCAACATGTCATACACGGATGTGGTGAGGCGGTGCATGGTTCTTGCACGGCGCAGCTTCCTCTCTCTTTCGCTTTGCCTCTGCCTATGGCTTGCAATGTTCGCAGCTGCAAGTCCTGTTCAACTCTCGCCCCACTTTATCCTCACTCAAACAAGCTCCCAACTCAACGCACCTTACTCAGCAGCACTACTTGATGCGGACAACTCGGGAGATGCTGGACTGGACATTTGTGTGGCATCGTACTATGATGGACTCGTCTGCTTTGCCTCTCTCGGAAACGGTTACGGACCCATGGAGTTGGTCGATACCTTGTCGAGTGCGGTCGTTGTGGATGCAGGTGACCTGGATGGCGATGGTGCGACAGACCTACTTACCGCCTACGTTGCAAACCAGGGTGTGAGGTTCTACCGGAATACCGGCATTCCCAACATTATTTCCTTTGATACTTCGACAATTCTCTCGGTCCAGATCAGCTCGATCCGTTCTGTCATCATTCATGATGTGGATGGTGATGGTCATCTGGACTTTGTTCACGCCTCTTCAAACACCGTATACGTGGCTTACAACTTTGGCCTTTTGGCTGGTGAAAAGGCCGATGAGCTGTTTACCCACCCCAGAAAGATCATGGGTGACTTTGGCAGCATCTACTCTCTGGCCGTCGGCTCGCTTGAAGGCGATCAGAGCAAGACTGACGTTGTTGTTGCCGATTACAGTAGCGGCAAGGTGTACGTGTGCTATGGGCACCCGACTTCGGTGGGAGGTGGTTACGCTCTAGACGCGGTTGCCATCGCCGAGCTCACTCAGCCTAACGATGTTCTGGTGGCTGACGTGGGTGGCGATGGCAGTCCGGACGACGTGGTGGTGGCCGGGCAGAACGAGGTTGTTGTGCTTGTCAACGATGGCAGTGGCGTCTTCTCCTCATTGGTTGTCACGTCTACGAACGCGCGCGAGGTGGCGGCTTACGACTTTACCGGCGATGGCCTCCTCGACCTTGTCTTCCGCAAGTCGAACGACGTTGTGCTTGCGATCAACGACGGCGGAAGCGGGACGATGCCGTTTGCGGAGCAGGTTAAGGTTTATGACTCGGTGATTGAGATCCGTGACATCGAGGTTGTTGATGGCAATGGTGACGGGCGGCCGGACGTGGTGCTCGTCGATTCGAACTTGCACAGGGTGGATGTGCGGATGAACGTGGGCAACGACGCAGAAGGTCGGCCGTACTTTGCACCGCTGTTTGAGGTCACACCGACAGCTTCAGCGGTGTATGGGGTCATTGCCTTTGACGCCGATGGCGATGGCGATCCCGACGTGGCGGCTGCTTCGGGCGACGCTGTAGTGTGGTACGAGAATGTGCAGCCGAGTGGCAAGTACCTCGAGCTGGTTGGCCCGTATGATGTTGGTGTGGCAACGAGCGCGCGCGGGCTTGCTGCGGGCCATTTTGCGGGCTCTGCGTCGCTCGACATTGCGGTTGCATCGCATAGTTCGCACGTCGTCCGCTACTTTGTCAACACGGATGCCGCCGACGCCAACACTCGGTTTTCGCAGCTCGGCCAGTTTGCGGTGGCGAACGTGGAACGTGTCCGACTGGCCGATTTGAACGGCGACGGGTTTTTGGACATGGTGACGAGTCGGCGCAACGCGCCCTCGGTAGTGGTCTGGCACGCGCACGACGGGCAGCTGGCTAGCCCGACGTTTGCGAGCCAGAGTCCGGCGATTCTGGGCATGAACGACATCCGGGACGTGGCGGTGGGCCGGATCAACAACGATGCACACATTGACGTTGTCGCGTGCGGATCGAACAGCAACCGCATCGCGTGGGCGCCCAACGATGGCGCTGGCAACTTTGGCGCCGAGGTGGTGGTGTCGACGGCGCACAGCAGTCCGATTGTGGTCCGGCTCGCCGACATCGACAACGACGGCGATTTCGACTTGCTGGTTGGGTGCTACGCGACCGGGAATCAGGCCAAGGTGTTCAGCAATCCTGGGAACGGAGTCTTTGAGGCACCACAGGAGTATATTGGCTCGGGTGGGTACGTGAACTCTATGGATGCCGCTGACCTGGACGGCGATGGCCTGGTCGACCTCATTGTGGGCGGGCAGAATGGAAACTCAGTCCGTCTCCATCAAGGCACTGGGCCGGGTACGTTTGACCCCTCACCTTTGCTGCTGCTGGGTGGTGGGACGGCGCGCGATCTTGCGGTGGCCAACTTTAATCCCGGGCGGACTCGTTCAACGATGTGGTGAGCGCGATTTCATCCACGATTCGTGGCGCGCTCATGTCATCCGAGTGTCCAGATGCTGCTCCACCACCGCTAGTCCAGCAGCAGGTGATGGCGCAGCCAAACACGCCTGTGGGCTCGGTCGTCACGTTTGGGTGCTTGCCAAACTACTTTTCAGCGGCAGGGGCACCACGCTCGTTTGAGTGTGTAGCCAACGGACCGAGTCCACCGGTATGGACGCCGACGCCGAGTCTTGCATGCACGCTTGAGACGTCAGTGTCGTGCGGCGGGCCGCTACCGGCACCGGCCAATGGCGGCGTCTCGTGCTCGGGAACGACTGGCGGTGAGACGTGCACGTTCTCGTGCTCGTCGGGCTATGCAATTGTGGGGCTGGGGGTGCGGGAGTGCGACCCGAGGTCCGGAACCTGGAGCGGATCGGCATCGGCGCAGTGTGCAATGACGGACCCGGCGGCGTCGTCGGTGGTGGCGACGACGGAGCTGATGAGCACCCAGGGAAGGCTCGATGTGGAGCGGCTCCTGGCGCAGGGCGTGGTGGTCCATCCGCCATACACACTCATCAACGAGACTGTGACTTTTGCGGTGCAGACGATGGCGACGGGCGGGTACGCTGTTGACCTTTCGAGCCATGACGTGATCACCGTTGATGGAGTGCCGAGCGCTGTTGCGTCGCACATGACGAACGGGTGGTGGGAAGTGAGCATCCCAGGCGAGGTTGTGGGCGACGTGAGTGGGCCGAAGAGCTTTACGGTCCGTGTCAACGGTGGTCTGGTGGGCGGCGGGAATCCTGTGGTTGTGGAAGTGCTACCGGCGGCGACGGTGGCGACAGCATCGACGGCATCAGGCGATGTATCGTCGGTGTTTGCGGAGCGCATGGCGAACGTGACAGTGACGGCGCGCGATGCCGGATCGAACCGCCGGCTGCTGGGCGGCGACGGGCCTGTTGTGGTGCTGAAGAACTTGCGGGAGAGCTTCCCGACAACACTGGTAGACCACGGGAACGGCGAGTACACGCTGACGTACGTACTCAGTTCTCCCGGGCTTTACACGCTCATTGTGTCGATTAATGGCGACCCGATCGCAGGTGCGCCGTTTGTAGTCTCGGTTGAGTCGTATTGTGTGGTAGGCACGTTTTCGCCGACGCGGACAGACAACTGCGTGCCGTGTGGGCGCGACACGTACTCTGCCGAACCGAACCAACTGACGTGCGAGGAGTGTCCCGAAGGGACGTCGACGCATGGGCTGGAAGGCGCGGAGTCGCGGGCCAACTGCACGTGCCTGGTCAACAACTACAGCCTTGAAGGGCCTGGAACGATTTGTAAGGCGTGCCCTGTGGGAGCGACGTGTGCGGGCGGCGAAGAGCTGCCTGTAGCGGTGCCCGGGTACGCGGCGACGTCTGCGGACACATTTGCGCCGTGCCCGCGGCGCGGCGCATGCCTTGGTCAGCGGTGTTCGGCGGGGCATGAGGGCTTTCTCTGCTCTGCGTGCTCAGAGGGGTACTACTCTGCGAGTGATCAGACGTGCCGAAAGTGCCCCAAGAGCTCTGGAGGCCTGTTCGCGCTCCTTGTGATCCTTGTGGTGCTTGGTGCTGTGGTTGGGGCGCTGGTGCTGTATGTCATGTTTGTGCGGCGAAAGATGGCGGAGATGGAGGACCGCAACCTGAGCGCGGCGGAGCAGGAGGCACGGTGGCGTGCGACGCCAAATGGCGGGCGGTCACGGCTCTTCCCGCCGTCGATCTCGCTGGCTGTTGTGGGTGCGCAGATGCTGGGCCTCTTTGGCTCTGTCAACTTTTCGTGGACGTCGACAGCGGGGTCGCTGCTCAACGTTTTCAACGTGTTCTCGATCGACGTCAACCTGTTCGCCACGCAGTGCTCGACCAAGTCGTGGGCAGCAACGTATCTTGTCTCGCTCTTCCTGCCTGCGGTGCTCTTTGCGCTTGTGCTCGGTTTTATGTACCTGTTCTTTTCGGTCCTCCCGTTTGTGATCCGGCCGTGTGCCGAGCTGCAGCAGATCTCACTCAAGCCTGTGGCACTCTTCCTCACGTACACACTCGGGGCGATCCTGTACATTCCGCTCTCGCAGTCGTCACTGCTGCTATTCGACTGCACCAAGCTCCGCAATGGGCGGTGGATGCTGGACGCGGACCTGTCTGTGGCGTGTTTTGACGAGACGTGGTGGTCGATCTTTCCGTTTGGGCTTGCAGGAGTGCTCGGCTACATTGTGGGCATTCCTGGGATCATTGCGTACACGCTGTACCGCCATCGGCACGTGCTGTTCTCGATGCGAACGATGCGGCGGTATGGCATGCTCTACCGGCTGTACCGGTCGCAGTACTACTACGCGCTCCTGCCGCTGCTCGGCAAGCGGCTGTTCATTGTCATCCTCACGCTCTTCCTCTCGCGGTCGGTGACCATTCTCATCTCACTGCTTATTCTCACCTTTGTGGTCTCGATGGCGGTATTCTTCTACTATGAGCCGTACTTTTACCCGATGTACAACCAGATGGAGCAGTGCCTCACCGGGTGCATTCTCGGTGTGCTCCTTGCGGCCAACATGATGCATGCCGGCAATCTCGAGCCGTCGGACAAGCGGACGATTGTGGTCGAGGCCTTTGTGGTCATCCTTGTTGTCGCCTTCCTCCTCTTCTCGGCCTACTTCATCTTCATAGACGTCCGCGAGATCTACGCCCATCGGACGGCGGGCTTCTCGGCGCCGAATCCCCAGTCTAAGCGGGTGCAGGCGTGGCTGGCACGCAACGCGCGCGACGTCGACTCGCATCGGATGCCCGAGGTGGTCGACGTGCTCACGAGCGTGGTCGGATCTGGAGAGCAGGCCAGCAGGGGTGGCAAGGCCGTGGAGAGTGGCACGCGGAACGAGGTGATAGTCTCGGCGGTGCCGGCGCATGTGCGAGGCGCGAATGACGCGGCAACGATGGGCACTTTTGACTCGCTCGAGCTGGATGAGATGGATGTGCTGCTAGCGGGCGAGGCGCCGTCGCAGCCCGCGCCGGTGGAGCTTGTCAAGCCGCCCAAGCCGGTGCCTCCTCCACGACCCAAGGCACTGGCGGGAGAAGTGGCGGCGAAGGCATCTGTCGAGTCGTCCTACTCGTCGTCGTCATCATCATCATGAGGCGTAGCATGAGGCCTTTTTACTTGGACGGCGCCGGTTTGGCGTGGAGGTGGGAGAGAATGGCGTGTGCGGTGTTGCGGATGGTGTCGTTGTCGTCGGCGGCGAGACCGGCAAAAAAGGCGCGAGCTGAAGCGTGCTCGGGCTCAGAGGCGAGGGTAAAGGCCTTGAACTCGAGGAAAGAGTAGAGGAGGTGAACTGCCTTGACACGGATGTCGTCCGAGGGCCAGGAACGGGCGATCCAGCAGAGGGCCGACCGGGTGTCGGGCTCGCGGGCGACGAGCTCACGTGCGCCGCGTTGGCCGAGCGAGATGTTGAACATGGCGATGAGGACAAGCGTGACAAGGCGCGAAGCGAGCTCAATTTGAGCAGAGAGATGAAGGCCGGTCGACGACGATGGGCCCGGTGAGGCGGTGAGCATTGCCTCGGTGGCGTCAACGAGCGCGAGGAGCATGGCAGTGAGGGCGTCAACGACGCCGTCGGACTCGAGGATGGCCAGCCGCCCGGTTGGCCGCGATGCCGAGTTGCCGAGCGCACCGAGAACGGCCTCGGCGACCAGGACCATCCGCAGTGCGTCAACGCCGGATTCACGGCCTGGGTCTCGGCAAGAACGGCCGGCGGTCAGAGCCGTGCAGCCAGGCATGGTGGTCATGGCTGCCGGGCGGGCGCGGGCCGGGGCTGCGCCGGACTCGGCTGCCGCTGCCGCTGTGATCAGGCTTGCCAAGGCCGCCCCAGGTAGGGTGTCGTGCTCAGCGGGTGCCATTGCGTGCAGCAGGGCCGGAAGGGTGGCGAGGAGCGAGCCAGAGGCGTCGGCGGGCGCCTGGCTCAGATCGAGATCGCTTGCATGAGTCGCTGACCACACCAAAGCCGCCAGGGGGAGGCTGAGAGCGGTAACGACAGTGACAGCCGGATGCGGCCGGGGAGGAGGAGGAGCAGCGGTGGCGGCGGCAGCAGCAGCACGGGCGGATTGCAGCTGACGGCGGAGATCGTCGCAGCGAGCATTTGCGGCGGTGAGGCTTGAGCGAACGGAGGCGGCGGCAGCCGAGGCGGCAGCCAGCTCGGCTGAGTTTGAGGCGAGCTGGGCACGGAGGCTGTCGATGGTGGTCAGCTGGTGCATCCGCAAGTCCTCGGCCTCAGAGATGGTCAGCTGAATGAGCTCTAGATGCGGATAGGGGAAGGAGGGGGGCAGTGAGGAGCGGGAAAAGGTCGCAGAAGAACATGGGCATGTTGTGTGAGGAGCTCTGATCACGCGTGATCATGAGCGAGAAACACCGATCTCCGGAAAAGGGCGTCAAAAAGAGCGACACGCCAAAGTGAGGTGGCCAACAGGGTACAGAGAACACAGATGAAGGAAATGGCACCCGATGGGTACGGGTAAGGGAGAGTGAGAGAGGGTGTGTCTGTGTGTAAGGAAGGTGCGTACGCTGGGTACCGACGAGCGCAGCTTGGAGGTCTGTGCGAGCGGCGGCAAGCTCGTCAGCGGCGTGCGGCGCGTCGTCGCCTGCGGCGGCGAGGATCGGCTCACAGAGGAGGTCGACATCAGCAGCGAGGGCGTCGAGGGCAGTCTGGGCGGTATCGAGGGCGTTTGCGGCAGCGTGCGGGATGATGGCCATGTTGATGAGTGGTAAGGTGGGGGGGGGGGGGCGCACAGTTGAGTGGGAGTGATGGCCAAGAGCGGCAGCCGTCAGAGGTGGTGGTCGGTGGCACAGAGGCGGCGGTGGAGGTGGGAGACTGCGAGTTTGCCGGCGGATTTTGTGGCCGAGACAGCGAGGTCGGCATTGATGACGTTGATCGGTGGCGAGGCATGGATGAGGCGATCGTGCAGGGTATCAAAGCCGATGGGAATGGCGGCGCGCGAGGGTGGGCCGAGGGGCGCGCGGTGCTCGTCGACGTCGATGGCGAGCGGCTTGATGAAGCGGATTGGGGTGGCGAGCGGGTAGAGGTTGACGTCGACAATGAGCATGATGCGGATGGGCCCGGCAGGGCCCGATGCTGTCTCGGAACCGGCGCTGAGTGTCGGGGCACGGAGGAGCTTGAGATCGATGTCAGGCTCCCAGACGCAGAGCGCCTCGTAGCCGAGCTCACCGAGGCGATCTTGGCGCGAGATAGGGAGCTCAATGAGCCGCGAGGTATCGATAGAGCGCGGAGTGGCACCTGGCTCGACATCGGAGAGAGTGCGGCGGAGGACGTTGAGCGACGACGGTGCGAGGTGGAGCGGGTGGTCTTGGGCGGGCTCGTGGACTGGGGCGTCGTCGACAAACGCGGCGAGGTAGACGCCGAGGAAGCCTGCAATGACGAGAGCTTGCTTGGCGCCAGTGAGGAGGCGTGTGAGTGGGTTGATGTGGTCACTGAGGGCGAGCTGGAGCTTGATGACGCGCGGGTGAAGAAGCGGAGGCGGTGGCGGGTGGTGAAGAGCGAGCCGTAGCGAAGCGAGAAGAGGGTGGCGTCGGTCGTGTGCGGAACGCGGGAGAACTTGCGGTAGGCGTTGCGCTCGAGGAGCTCTGCGCGGAGAGCTAGCTCGTAGGCCATCATGCCGGGCAGCTTGCGCATGGTCGGAGTGAGCTTGACGAGTGAGATGCAGAACGGGGTCGCATACGACGGGCGAGCGTACTTGCGGGTGAGACGGCGGACAAGCTTGGATGGGACTGCGACGACGCAGGCTGCCGGCGAGCTGGGCGAGGCGAGGTCGACGAGAACCGTCCGGTCCTTGGTCCGCGAGACAAGCGAGACGTAGGCGAGGGCGGCGATGCGGACAGTGGCGGCTGCGCGGTCGCCGTAGAGGGTCCCAGTGCAGGCCTCTGTCATCTGGGCGCGACGCGGCTTGTCGAGCATGGTGTAGCCTGCGGCGTGGCCGGTCTCACTGGGGATCGCCACTTTGGGCTTTCGTCGGGACCGATTTCGTGAGGATGGGCGGGATCGGCTCGCTGGGGCCGCACGCGGAGAGACGACGACAGGCGGCAGCGGGAGCGATGCACGGCGGGCAAGATTCGATTCTGGCAGTGGCGGAAGAGTGATGGCGGTTCGGCCGATGCGTGGCGAGACGAGCGATGCTGGCGGCCTCCGATGGGCGCGGGGGATTGCGCTTGAGGAAGAAGATGGAGGAGGGGGCAACGCGGGTGTGGTAGGCGGAAGGCGGAGCTTGAGGCGAGCCTTTCCCATCCGCAGCGGACTATCGAACTCATCATATCTTGTTGATGATAGAGGCGCAGATGGAGCCGAGGTGGACGGCGGAGTCAGCGGGCGGATGAGGCGATGGCGGTGTGCGGAGAGGGATGATAGTGGCGGTGACGATGGCGGCGACGGTAATGATGACGACGACGACGATGATGATGATGATGACGAGAGATGTGATGAGTCGTCCGAGTGGGAGTACGAGTACGAGTACGAGTAGGTGGACGCCTTGCCGTACTGGCTGGGTGGATGTGGTGGTTGAGCCGGTTGTGTGTGGGGGCGTGGTAGGCTCATGGCTTCCACGTGTATACGTAAAAGGGAGAAAGGCTGCTGCGACAGTGCAGTCGGCCAGAGGTGGATATGGAGAGAGGGCGTGGAAGTGAGGTGGTGCGGGTGTGGGGCGGGAGGAGGTGGCCAACGATTACTTGAACGTTGGTGATTGATTATGAGGGGAGTGGGGGAGGGGGGGAGGCTGGGAATCGGGAAGGGATCGGGGAATAGGGATGTGATGGTGATGGTGATGGTGATGATAAGATGTGTGTGTGTGGGGGGGGGGGGGGCGTGGCGAAGGGACAAACGATTATATG